TGCCAGATTCTATCTAAAAATAAATAAACAAATAATAAAAGGAATTAATTATACTCGATAGGCTCACATTTCGTGGAGATGTAATTGGAGGCTCAGGAAGGCAGAGCTTGCCCAAGGTTGGATAACAACCGAATAAAGACTCAAGTCCAGGCAGTGGGCACCAAATGCCAATGCCTTTATCATCAGATCGCCTCTCTCCTGGGCGCTGGCCTCTCTGCTGGGACAGAAGAGTGAGGTGGGAGGGATCAGATGTAAGGAATGTGCTGCCTGCTACTCCATGGCCACAAGGGCACAGGCGAATGGCCTCTGAACAGCTAAGGGCACTGCAGTGAGCTCACTGCTCTGGTCTTCCCTCCTTCCTTCCCGAATTGAGATGTCAGCCTTCTGCTTCATTTCTTCCGATCCTGGACACCTGGCCTGGGAGGGCTCTCAGCAGAGGCCAAAGATTTCCCCCTGTGCCTCCAGAACACCTTCATCATAAAGACATAGACTGTGGGTGTCAGACAAGCACACTCTCACCACCCCCATCTCCACTCCTCTCCTTGCCCCTCTCCTCTGCCCTGCCCTCTGCCTCCCTCTCTCCCTACTCTCCCACTTCCTGCATGCTCTGAGATGGAGGGACCAATTAATCCTGCTACCACCCCCACCTCTGAGCTGAGCCACTTGCTGGTCCCCAGCCATCGGCATCCCTACCAGGAAAAGTGTGGCTAACTGGGGAAAGATTTCCTCCATCCTTCCAAGGCCTGAGCACTGCAGAGAGGGTTCTCCCAGGCTAAGCGAAGATTTTCACCCTGAGACGTCCTATCATCAGAGAGTGCTTCAGGGTTACTTGTCACCCAGACCCGTTGTTTCTTCCTTGACATTTGGGCCCAGATGCTGAGCATCTATGTCACATTCCAACCTTCTCTTGCACCACAAACAGCAGAGCTCCTGAGGGCATCCGATGAGTGTGCGTGCGTGCATGTGTGTGTGTGTGTGTGTGTGTGTGTGTGTGTGTGTATCCACTCACTTGGACAGCTAGCGTGTACTGAGCACTTGCTACATACACACTTGGCACTGTGGTAGGCACTGGGGACACAGAGTTTCTTAAACGGTCCACGTAACGCTCTCAGGGTGTGGCCACTCTAATAAGGAAGGGCAAGCAACCAAGTTCGGAGTAGGTGGGACAGGGGTGAAGGAGCAGAGCCGTTTTAGACAAGCGGAGGTGGGGCAGGTCTCATTCTGGAAACCTGATTTCTTTATGCAAATGCCATGTTCCAGAAAAGACAAGTATTGGTGAAACCTTCGCATAGCAAATCATTGAGGGAAGTGTGGTTAGTGGTTGGCTCGGTTTTTGTTGTTGTTGTCGTCTTTTTTGTTTTGTTTTGTTTTGTTTTGTTTTTTGAGCCAGACACAACCCAGGCTGGCCCTGAACTGGATATGCAGAGGATAGCCTTGAAGCCCCAAATTCTCCTACTACTACTCCGAAAGACCTGAGATTACAGGAATGCACCGCTATGCCCAGCTTTTCAAGTCTCATGGAGAATCCAACACAGGCTTATTGGTTAGCCTGCAGCAAACCTCTAGAACCTCAGTTTTCTCAGAAGAAAAATGGGGTTAATACTGCTTTTTCTCCCAGCTAGCTTACAGAGCTATTGAGAGACTCGTGGAATGAGATTTTAATTTTGTGAAGCTGCTAACTTATTACATCAAAGTAATGCAGTTGCTGTTAGAACTGAGGCAGTGTGGGCGAAGTAAAGTGGCACCTCCAGGTAGACATTCCGTGATAATCCAATTCCGACGTGTGTGTCTGACTGAGATGAAGACCACATTAAGATGGCTTCCAAATCTGGGCGGACAGGGATGGTATCTTCTTATTCAGCCCTCTGAGGCTTGGAAGCACTTTGTGGTTCCTCGGGGCTGTGGTTTGTTGTTGGCTGCATGGAGCATCCTGTCTAGGGCTATCTGTTACTGTCTTAATTTCAGACCGTTGGTTAACCTCGAGACCCCAGCTTCCATTCTCCATGAGCGACCTGCGCTAAAAGCCTGGAAACGAAACATTACCCATCAGCACTCTTCACCCAGCTTTTGCTTTGAGCAGTGGCCTCCATCTAAAGGTATGGGAAGCCCGACAGACATGGAGGGGTCTGTCACCCCAGGGAGAAGCAACTGGGGAGCCTGACAGACATGGGGAGTCCGTCACCCCAGGGAGAAGCAACTGCTCACTTCGTGGAATTTCCTCCTCTGGATACTCCATTTTGTGGTAAAAATGGAATGATTGCCACTTGGAAGGGAGTTTATTTCGCTCAAATAATACCACTAAATTGAAAGGTTTACAGCACGTACCTCCAGGAGAGTGCTCAGCTGCAATCAGACACTTGCCTGATTCCCTGCCCCCTCGGGAGCCCCTGCAGGTGCCATCATAGCTCGGCTATGAGAATAGATGACAAGGCTGACGGAGAGTGGGGTTTAGAAACTACTTTCTGACACCGTTTGCGGAGAACGAGACTGTCTCCAGGGTGGGTGGTGGCAGGATGGAAGATCAAGGGCAAATGTGTCCTCTCCACACATTTCAAAACCTCAAAATACAGATTTTTTTTCCTCTCCAGAAGACAAGTATGGACTCATCAACCAGAATGCTCACTCTGGTCTACTCCAGGCAAATCAGAGACACCACCTTCCCCAATATTTCTAATACAGGATGGGGGTTCTCATTCTAGAAAGGAAGACACAGATAGAGATAAGAGCCTAGAAGAAAGAGGAGGCTGGTGGGAGAGAAGTGTGCTGTGATCTCTGGTCCTGACGTACCCCCAGCTCAGCATCACAAATATGGACATCATTCTCATCTTATGGATGGGAATGCAGAATGCAGAGAGCTAAACCACCCTTTCAAGTCCATATGGCCCAGTAAGTGGCAATGAGGTATTATCTGCTTAACTCAGGGCCAGAATCAAAGTGAAGTTTCAAGTTGACCTCCCTATGGGATTTTGTCAGGGACAAAGCACTTGGCTGTTCTTCCTCTCGCTCTGTTGCTTAAGGAGCCAAGGAATTGCTACACTAGGCTTAGAACTCCAGCTTTAATGTCCTTTTCTGTTGATAAATTTGGTTTCTAAATAAATAATTATCCTGTCCATTCCTGTCTGTACCACCCATGTCCTCACTCCTGGCTGATTCCTCCCTTCCCCCCAACATCTTCCCACGTTTGCCTAGCTCCTTCTTTTTACCCCTCACAGGCTAACTCAGCACACACACACACACACACACCACTCACCTTCTCCCCCACACCCATATGCAAAATAAAATTAGAAACACGTCCGACTCTCAAGGTGTTTAAGGAATGGAGATTTCTGATCAGTATGGCCCAGCCCCAGCCCTTTGGGTCCCCTCCAGCTCAAGCCTGTGTTAGAGGCAGGCAGAGCGGAGGTAGGGGGGGTGGGGGGTGGGGGGATGGGGGGTGGGGGGGTGGGGGGTGGGGGGGTTGGGGGGTGGCAAGGCAGGGTGAGGCAGGCAGCTCGTGACTCAAAGCTGCTCTGGAAGGAAAAAGGCCTCTTGTGCTTCCTTGTGTCTGTCCTGGGGCCACCAGATTCTCTGGAGCTGCCACCTGGTGTGTGGTTCTTTCTCTCATGTATGAGATCCTTTTAGAACATGAAAAGGTTTCCTGGCCCCTTTTTTATTTTTATGTATGCTGATAAAATACAGAGAAAACAGTGTCTGATGATTCAAAAATAGAGGCTAAGCCGATCGGCATATGGCCTTTGCTTCAAAGGATTGCTCGTTTTAATCAACCGGTTGAGATACCAATAAGCATTTGTTATGTTTGCTTGCACACAGAGGAGAGGAGAAGACAGCACTGGGAGCCATGACAGCTCGGGAAACTGAGGCTAGTAAAAGCATGAATAGTCTTGCAGTGTTTCATGGCTTAGACTCCCCCTCCCACATGCAAGGATGCACACACGTGCGCGCGCACACACACACACACACAGAGAGAGAGAGAGAGAGAGAGAGAGAGAGAGAGGATACACTAGTGTCACCACCCTCTTACTGTCTCATGGCACAATATGAGAATAGAATGAGAAGGAGATAGATAGATAGATTGGGGCAGGACAAGCTTAGGTCCCAGTCTGTGTCTGGATGAACCTCTGTTGTCCCCCCCAAACCAGAGCTGCCCCTGGGTCCCAGCTGATTCTGAAGCAGCAGAGGGTGAACACAGGAGCATTGTGCTAGAACCAGGTTCAAATCCAGGCCCCACCACTCACCTGCTGCATGACCTTGGACTTAGCATTGCCTTCTTGGCCCTGGAACGGGGCTCAGCAACCTTCAGGGACTATCCCGGAGGATTAATGCAGCTGTCATGTCATGGGCTCAGCACAGTGCCTGTTACTTAGGAAAGTGCCAGTCCGTAGTGTTATGATGATCTAAGACACAAACAGTCCTCATCCCAAGCAGGCTTTATGGCTACTCTCATTCAGTCCTCTGTTCTACAGAAGACCCTGGAAGGTAGGCCCACCCAGTAAATAGTAACCGGTAGATATGGACACCCAGGTAGACTGGCTGTCACCCCTCAGTTCACAGACCTGAGCTAATGCTGATTTTCATGGGTGTTGCCCTGGTGAGCTGAGCTCTCAGCCCACATCCCCTCACCCCCCAGTATACACACACACAAGGTTTCCTTGGTTCTAGCCGACAGCGGGGAGGGGTGGTCATAGACAGGAAGAGGAGAAGAGGGGAGGTCAGGGTATGGCTGGAGCTTCTGCATCAGGCATGAATCCCCATCTCCCAGTTGGAACTGGAGTTGCAGTAAGGCAGGGCGCCACAACACGCCCTGGGGGAGCCGAGAAGGGCGGGGATGTGAGGGGCAAGTCCTCAGTGCTGAGCCAGTGGCCAGAGCACCGCCCCCAGGAGCGGAGGGAGGGGTGGAGGAGCTAGGGGGGTGCCCAGCTGCCATCCCCGCCGCCTCCTGGCCCCCACTCTCTGGCGCCCAAGTAGGAGGGCGGCAGCTGCCCGCTCCTTCCTTCCCACACCCCCGCTACCTGCCCAGTCCCCGAAGCGAACCGTGAGGAGGCTGCGAGCCAGTCGGACGAACCCACAACTTTGCAGCCTCGGGGAAAACCAGGGCCGGCGTCCGGGGCTGCTCCTGTCGCCATCCGAGCTGGGTGAGTTCGTTCCCCAGTCTTCTGCGGCTCTGCGGCCGCTCCGGTGGGGGGCGGCTGCCCGGGCGTCCAGGAGGCAGTGGCGGAGGAACCGGCGGGTGCCCGTGCTGCTGGGGTCTGCAGGGCTCCGATGCCATGGTCAGAGGCTGGTGGGGCGGGCGCCGGTGCTGAGCGGACAGCTCCCCACGCTCGCGGCCGCCAGCCACTCTCTGTGGGCCTTTGCGGGACGCAGGGCCCCGACTGCGGCCACCCACCCGGCGCCCCGCACTCCCCCAGCCCCTGTCCTTCGCCTTCCCAGAGCCGCGGCGCATCTGGAGGCTGCTCCCGCGCCCCCCTGGCGACTGGCGCGGGGAAGACACTTGCTTCCCTCGCCGGAGCCCGGTACCTAGGGCCCTGTGAAGTGGGCAGCGCCCCCGTGGCCTCTGGGGATGCTTGGCTATGGGGACGCTGAGCCCCCCAGAGATCAACCCCGGTCGTGCACTGAGCTGCGCCTCAGCTGTGCAGAGACACCGCAGGTCCCTAGAGCGGTGCAAAGATCACAAGGTGACCAATGCCTCAACCCAGACGGACGGGACAGCTTGGACCCAGGCCCTGTGGCATCCATCCATCCTGGGTGCAGCCACCTTCCCAGAACTTTTCTCTGGCCGATTACTTAGACTACTGGAAAGTTCTTCTCACACACAGAGCCTATTTCCCCGTGGTATCCGAAGTTGGGTAGGGGCTCCGGCTGTAGGAGGTGAGGCTGCATTCGGCTCTGTGTAGGGGTGCCATCCCAAGAAAAGCTGCCAAGCATGCACTAGTCCACCCAGGACTGGCTTCTTGGCATCGAAAGGGTTTCGGCGCCTTGGGGATTGTTTGGGTTTCTCCCGCCAGGAAAGAGAAAGGCGGGTGCGAGTGGGGGATTTCAATTTCATTGCCTCAAAGGAAAAGACTCTTTGCAAAGATTTTATAGAAATAGTCAGGGTAACCAGCGGCTGGAAAATGAACGAATCAGGACCCACTGGCACAAGTAGTCTGGCTACACCTCACCCTACCCAGCCCCTGAGCACTGTATCGACTGTTTAATTGATTTTTAGTAGAAAAATCCGGGTGGCAGGGGGTGGGTATACACACACACACACACACACACACACACACACACACACAAACCCAGACGCACACAGATGACACACAAGAGAGCACACATCTTAGTCCACAGCACAACTGCTTCCAAAGAGCCTTGGGTAGCCTGTGAGGTCACAGAATATTGTTCAAGATAGGAGTGGGGGGAGGGGCAAACCAGGGTTTCCAAGAGTCCAACCGGTCTCTCCAGCCCCACCTGGTCCTCCTCTTTCTCCTAGAGAAGCCTCAGCCAGAGATCCCAAACGTGGGTTGTTTTCACTAACGTGATACTGTTCTCCCCCTCAACTCCGAAACCCCACCCCTCCCCCACAGAAATCACTCCTGCAAACAGGCCCTTCCCTCCTGTGCCTGACCTCCTTGACCCCAAGGCAACAGGGACTTACCCGAAGTAGGTCTGGCCAGAGGCAGGCTGCTGTGGTCTCTGGGCCTCTAACCTGCTTGTCCCCAATTGGGGAAACCGGAAAGGGTGGTCCGTGGGGCAGAGTTTGGGAGATTTGTGCACAGCCCTCCCCTTCGACCAAGGAGAAGAGCGCCAGGATGACCCTGGACAGCGCTGTAAGGCTTCCTCTCTCCTTGCGCCCCTTAGGAATGTAATCGAGGAGATGCTGGCCCTGCGGCTGCTCAACGTGGTGGCCCCCGCCTACTTCCTTTGCATTTCCCTGGTGACCTTCGTACTGCAACTCTTCCTCTTCCTGCCCAGCATGCGTGAGGACCCCACAGCCACCCCGCTCTTCTCGCCTGCCTTGCTTCACGGGGCACTCTTCCTATTCCTCTCAGCCAATGCCCTGGGCAACTACGTCCTGGTCATCCAGAACTCCCCAGACGACCTGGGTACCTGCCAGGGAACCTCATCCCAGCGAGCTCAGTGCCCACCACCGAGCACCCACTTCTGCCGAGTGTGCTCCCGAGTCACGCTGAGGCACGACCATCACTGTTTCTTCACCGGCAACTGCATCGGCAGCAGGAACATGCGCAACTTCATCCTGTTCTGCCTGTACACCTCACTGGCCTGCCTTTACTCCATGGTGGCCGGCGTGGCCTACATCTCAGCTGTCCTTTCCATCTCCTTCGCCCACCCCCTGGCCTTCCTCACGCTCCTGCCCACTTCAATCAGCCAGTTCTTCTCCGGTGAGTGGGCCTCGGTAGGTCCGGCAAACAAGGCCTCCTAGCCTAACCCCAAGTTTTTCAAATAAAAGCCCAGGAAAATCAGCCCCAAGTGTCAGAGAAGCAGGCGTTTGACATGATTATGCCCCACTATTTCGGGAGGCATATTAAGAGAACAGATTGTAATCTAGCAGAGATACAGATTATCTGGGCATGCTCTATTTCCTCTGACATTCGACCTCCCTCATCTTTCATACTATAAGATACCCATAAAAACCATGGCAGCCAAGCTATACATACACTTTTCAGGTCAGGCGCTTTCCTTGGAGCTCATGCTATGTTCCCCATTGGCCTGGGCTCCCCACCTCCCCCAGTAATTCCTTCAGGACCTTTTACTAAACAACCACAGTGAGTCTAAACTTGACTTCAGGTCATGCCCGGTGTGAGGCTAACCGCTACCCCCAACCTCCCACCCGCTGAGTCTGACTCCACCAGGTTCCTCTGCAGTTGGCAGGTGACTGAGAGCCACCTCACTGGCTACAAGTCCACACTCCAGAGATGGAGTCTGGTGTGGGATCTGGTCCTCTGGAAGGCTCAGACACCTGCTGGAGCTAGACACATGAGTCCTCACACTAGGCACCATGGTGAGAACTGTAGTTTGAATAGTATGTCTCAGAGAACACCCCATGATACCCAGTCCCGAGAGACTTTGCTCCTGGTGGTAATGTTGTTTTCCTTGGCCTTGGCATTTGTCCCTACTTCATTTCCTTCCACTCTTTTCTTACCCTGACCTTTGATTCTGACCAATTTGCCCTCTACAGTCAGTAGTGTGCACGCAAAAGTGTGGGTCTGGTGTTCTTGGGTTCATTTCTCAGATAAAGAAACTGAGTCTTAGCTGGGACTAAATAACCTGCCTGGTGTCTTACTTCCCTGGAAAAACTATCTCTGGCTTGCATCCAGGTGCTTAAACTGCAATTCAGTGCTCTTCCTCAGCCCCCATATTCCCAAACACAGTGACTTGACCTTCTATGGTCAAAGAAAGACAGCTATTTCTACAGAGAACCTGACTGTCCTGATGCACCTGGACTGGACAGGACTGAGATGTGCTGGACCGGACTGGGCTGAGCATTTGAAAAAATTGGCTGTATACCATAGGGGAAACCTCATTTCAGCCTCTGGTATATCTATAACCCAGCTCTTCCCTGACATAGAACTATCATGCCGGTTGGCAGTGGGAACACAGTGGCCCAGACAGGACCAGCCATGGGAAATGCCTGGATGGCTGGTGGCAAAGCTGGGCCCAGAACTGGGAGCTCTGGGGCCTTCTGGATCTTGGTGCTGGCATAGGAGGCTGCCAAGACAAAAATAAGCAAGATGGGGGAGGGTAGGTGGGTGGGTGGGGGTGGAGTGTGAGAGCAGGCAGGTGGAGTGATGAGGGGAGCCAGAGAACCTGATTACACATCTTTTCCAAGTAGTCTCACCAACCATAAAAATGGGTGGTTCCAGAAGGAGGACCTTGAAATGGTTTGATTTAAGTCTGGCGTGAGGCCTGTCCATATGTGCTAGGTTTGGGAAATATGGAAGAAAGGAAGCCTCTTGCTCTGATCTGATGGGAGAAAAGAGCCAGCCTAAGCCTACCTCAGGGCCCAGGCATCTGTTCTGACTTTAGAATGAGTGTCAGCAACCTTCACCATGCCCACTAGAAAGGGAACCCAAAACTCATCACCAGATCAGATCCATCTCCTCTTCCTCCTTTACTGGTCCTTCCTCCTTCACATCCTTCCCTGGCCCCTGGGTGAACACACATATATACTCATTCACACACACACACTCATACACGTACAGTCTCTCACCTACTCTCACACAGGCACACACTCACACACTCACACACACATACACACTCTCACACATGCACACACTCATACACATTCACTCACACACACACTCTCACACAGGCACACACTCTCACACACATACACACTCTCACACACATACACACTCTCACACACTCACACACACATACACATTCTCACACACACTCACACATGCACACACTCACACATGCACACACTCACACACATACACACACTCTCACACACTCACTCACATACTCATGCACACTCTCTCACACATACACACTCACACACACTCTTACACTCACACACACTTTCTCTCTCTCTCTCACACACACACACACACTTCCCTGTTCTGCTTCCGCCTTTGAGATCCTTCTTCACCAGTTCCTGGTCCAAATGGTCCAGAGCATCTCCTCTTAGCTGCTCAGGAGAGCAAGTGGGCAGCAGAGTGGACCAAGGCAGTGGTTTAATAGAAGTCACCCTGATGTCAAGCCCTGCCACTCTGAGATGGTTGTAAGTGGGGTTCTGAAAGCCTCCCACCTTTGTGTGTTTGTGTGGTTCTAAAAATTAAACTTCCGAAAATGCTGATGCCACTAACTCCAGACCCTCGGCTAATGCCAAAGAAAGTGAGAGGGTCAGTTGAGGAAGTTTGAAAAGAGTTCCTTCCTTCTGGCTTTGTCACCTGTGTGATTTCATTCTTGTCTAGAGAATGGAGATGACACCATTTGCACGGACCATGACATTTGGACTGGTATCCGTTGGTAGAGTCCACTAGAAGGGCCAGTAGGAGAAAAAGGTGACTAGAGCATAAGGTACCTGTTTTGTGTCCCACTGGATGTGTCTGATTGCATCCCATCCTTAGCACAAATCTGGGAATCAGCTATGTTTTTAAAGGCTGGGGAACCAAAGGCTCTGCAGGTTAAGTTGCTTCTGAGCTGTGCAGCTTTGGATTCTGGGTTCATTCTTTTCTACCCCACCACCCTCCATGTCTAGTCTTGCTTCCTTGCTGAATGGGCCTCTTTGGGAGGAGGGGGGCTGCCTATGCCCAAATGTATTATATAATATGCTCGGGAGTGGTTTGGAAGAAGGGCTAGAGATATCTGTGGCAGGGAGGAGGGCAGAGGTAGAGGAGATTAGATGATGTAATCTTTCAGATCCCTTAAGAAAGTTTTGTGACTTTTCTGAAAGAGGAACAATTATTACATAGTTTAGAGGCACTGAAGCAGCCAGGCCAGGTAACTTCAAACCCTTTGAAAGAAAAAAAGAAAGCAGGTCCCCAGAATAGGCTTTTATAGATGCTGCATGGGGCCAGAAAAAAAGCCAAAAGGTCTTTGCCTCATTCCTTGATTTAGAAACCTGTGGGAAATGGTTTCCATCCACCAGGCTTGTTCCTGGGGCTGAGTTGCAAGACAGGCCTGAGCTTGACAGCTCTGAGTCTCTCAATCCTACCTTAGGGCTAGCTTGCACATCAGTATTCCTCAAGCTGGAAGGGCACCATGTCCCCAAGAGTCTCTGTCCTGCACATGGCTGCCCAAGGAAAAAGTGGGTCACAGGATGGCCCACCCCTATTTGAGTCTGTCTCTTTGGTGCCCCCAACAATGATGGAGGGGCTCCTCTAAATGCCAGGTGGAGATTTCTGTACTCTGGGCAGCTAGAACTGTTTGTCCCTAACTTTGAGGAGAGAGGCTTCAGATGGGCAAGCCAGCAGATCAATTCATCTTGGCTGCTGAATCCATCATGGATCAGACTAGCAGGTATTGAAGCCTACTTCTCAGGAGTCTGGAAACTGGAGCCTGGGAAGAGGTAGCCTGGGGGATGGAGGTCCTGTGGGAAGGGAAGACGATGGAGAGGTGTGTGGGTAGACTGGGTAGTAAAATGACATGCCTGACGCAGGCACCCAAGCCTCTCTGCAGAAGGTGGTGGTGCGGCTGCCCAGAAAGGTAAAGAAAAGCCTCTGAGCTCTATTTGCAACCCTCTCTGCTCTGGCTGCTAAGGGTGTCAAGGCAGATGTGTTTACTACAGCTACCAAAGCCGCAGCCCAAACAGGACTCCAAGCCCTGGAAAAGTGAGGGAAGCCTGGAGGGTCTTATTCTCCTCCTCTGAGCCATGATATTCAGCACTGACTGTAAACCACAACTCTGGCAACTCCAAACCCCCTGTAATCCTGTAAACCTATGAAGCATTATTATAGCCATTTTGCCGATGAGTAACCTATAACTCAGAGAGGTTAAGAAACCTGCACAAGTACACACAGCTGGGAAATTCAAACCGAGCATGAACTAATCCTCCCACCTCAAACTCCCAGGACATGAGATCTCTTACTGGTAGACCTTTAAAAACAGCAGCAGGGAATGCTGGGTTTGGAGGGTGTAGAAAAGGTGCTGTCCCGTGTTAGGGTGCTGAACCCTAGGGGCCTCTTGGCGCCTTAGCCCGCTGGCGTGACTGACAGGACAGCTTTGGCTGAGTGTTGCAGTGTCTCCTTCTTTTGTTAACATTAATGACTGAATTGTTCTCTGAGTCAGCTCTGTGAGCTGCCCTTGAAGCCGAGCTCGTGACTGTTCCCATAACCGGGTCCTGTTCTCCATCATGCTGTCACATTCCCAGATCCTCCCAGACAGTACTCCCAGCCTCACCGGGAGAACTGACTGTAGTCTAGACAGCTGCCCAGGTGCCAGCTCCCTCTTTAGGGTCCTAAGTTCGCTCCTCTTTCCTCGTGTGACTCCCGCCCCCCCCGCCCCCGCTTCCAATCCAGAAAGTGAAATGGGAAGTATTTCTGCCTCTAGGGAAATGTGCAGAGTCTAGGCTGTGCCAGAAATGCTGAGGGCTCCTTTGGCTGAGCTCATTTAGCTTGTTCTCCATCTCCCTAGGCTCCTGATTCTTCCCCTCTCCTCGGGAGCCATCAGCACCAAGGAAAACTTGGGGCAAGGAACTCAGCCACGATCTCACAGGCTGCGAAGCTGAGATTGCTACAAATCCCAACTTCCAGCTCGTGAGCTCCTCTCGCTGCCTCGCAGCGGAAAGCACCAGAGTGGGGAGTCCCAGGGTACGTGGTCTGGATGTAAAGCCCTCTGGTGTTTCCCTTCCCCCCGCAGGAGCTGTCCTCGGTTCTGACATGTTCGTCATCCTGATGCTCTACCTCTGGTTTGCTGTCGGCCTGGCCTGTGCCGGCTTCTGCTGCCACCAGCTGCTATTGATCCTCCGGGGGCAGACCCGCTACCAGGTTCGAAAGGGGGTGGCAGTGAGATCCCGGCCCTGGCGCAAGAACTTACAGGAGGTCTTCGGAAAGAGGTGGCTGCTGGGCTTGCTGGTCCCCATGTTCAATGTCGGGACTGAAAGCTCCAAGCAGCAGGACAAATAGCTGGCAAGTACGCCTGCCATTTCTGTCTCAGTTCCTCCTGAACGTAAGACCACAGCGCCCCTGTCTCTACCAGTGAAACCCACAACCTCCCCTAGGAAGAGCCTCATGTCCACCCCAGGTCTTCCACCCTCAGAGGATTTATAACAGGTGCATTCTGGCATGGAGGGGAAATGGCCACCTGGGTACCACTAGGCTGCTCAAGTCCCAGCCAGGTAGGTAGCTGCCAACCTGTTAGGGTGTTTCTGCTTCAGGTTATCTCCTGGGAAGACCTTCCCCCACCCCTGCCTGGCCCATCCACTCTCGTGTCTCGGGTCATCACCACTTCTGCTAAAGTCCCCCTCCTCGTGTAGATAGTGGAGACTACATTCTTGCTGCTGGCAGGAGACTCCACAGGACCTGGAGGCTGGTAAATGGTACCGTTAGCATGCGTGAATGACAGCCCAGGAAGCTATGCTAACTGCTAGTGAAAAATGGGAAGGGGTAGGAATGCACGCTCATTCCCTATAAGGGACAGATAGTAATGCGTGTGTTCAGGGGAGCACAAACACTTGCTGCTCAGCCTGTGTACAAGGTCTTTCCTCTAGAGATAGCAACCAACGGCCTGGCGCTTTTTAATGCTTTTTCCTGCCCAGCCCAGCCCAGCCCAGCCCAGTCCAGCCCAGCCTGGGATGCCTCTGGCATTTGGTCTCCAGCCTCTGTATTTTTACAGAGATTGGGAAGTGAAGAAGGAAGGGAGAAAGGGGAGTTATCCGTAAGTAATAAGGGGGGTGTGTTTCTATATAGCCTATATAATTATATAAAAGTGTGTGTGTGTGTGTGTGTGTGTGTGTGTGTGTGTGTGTGTGTAAGAGGGAGTGGAGGTGACCAGTGTTGTTATGAGCACAGAGGAAGAGTGAGCATTGGAGGGGAAAGATGGAGGGGCAGATGGGTTGACTCTCTTGCAACTAAAGCCATCCAGTATTTGAACACCACCTGCAGGGAGTGCTGACCATTGGAGGTATTTTAACAGGATCTATACAGTTATCTTCCAGGAGTGCTATGAAAGAGATGTTTGTTTTAGTTCTAGATGAGCTTAGAGATCCCTTTGTGTTCCTGATTCTATTGTCCTCTTTGCCATTTCTGGTTATTGGCTTTAGGGGTTAGCTGGTTTCATGGGGCCGGGGGTAGGGTGAATGTGGAAGAGTCTAAAAATCAGAACATGGACTTTCTGCACCCAGCCATTTTGGAGACTTCTGATGTCAGCAGTAGCTGAGAGGGGCTAGCACCGGAGGACAGGGAGATGTAACTCTTAGGGCCAGGTGGGGGCAGTTGTAGGGAGAGAAAAGCCTGAAATCATGGTATGCCCTGAGGGGTTAGTGGGAATGACAGAATGGGGGGGTGCAATTGCTAGTCCATTCCTGCCCATCTGATTAGATCTAGATTGTATTCTGAGACCCAGTGGGTCAGACAGACCCCTGGGCATATGAAGGAGTGGGAGCCACATAAAAACCCTCTCCTGACTTGGTCCCAAGGCCAATCCAACATTCATACAAGCAATGAGGCTGAAGCCCACAGACTGCAGTGTCCAGTGGGTGGCCTCAATGACTCCAGCCATTGTTCCATAAGACCCTGAATTCTTAGCCAGGCAATGGTGGCGCATGCCTTTAATCCCAGCACTTGGGAGGCAGAGGCAGGTGAATCTCTGTGAGTTCGAGGCCAGCCTGGTCTACAAAGCTACACAGAGAAACCCTGTCTTGAAAAGCAAAACAGACAAACAAAAAAGACCCTGAATTCTTGAACAAAGCTTAGTGGGATTTTATGCAGGCCCTACTTTGGTGCCCTCCAGAGGGCTAATGTAGTAATGGCTTTTCTGCTCACACTTCTCCCTCCAGCACTGATTCTTTGGGGCCTTCCGTCTGTTCCTCCATTCACCCATTCATCCTGCCTATATTTATCAAGCACCAGCTGTGGGCGGAGTCTCAGTCACTAGCCAGTCATATGCCCACTGTCAAGGGCAGCTGACTCTACAGTTCCGCTCTGCTGCCTTGGCAGTGGTCCAAGCTGACCCCCTGGAGGGCAAAGGCGTGGCGGGGCTGAAGGGGAGCCCAGGCTTCCTCAGTAGAGGAGCCATTAGAGGTGACTTCACTCACAGTCTCGCCACACTTCAGCAGCCTGAGGAAGCAAGAGGTGGGGGAGGTGTGGACAGCTCAAGACTTGGAAGCCATCCCGGCACTGCCCAGGCTCAGCACCATGGAGCCTGACGCCCCAGAAGGGAAAAGGGGGAACTTGAGGTGGCCAGCTCCTTAAACACCAGTCAACGAGGGGTGACTGTGGGGGATTTGCCAGGTGTGGTACTTGAGTAGCATTTGTGCACACGGCCCTCTGTTGCTAATGAAGAATATCAATAAAATATCTGGTTTTCAACTGTATTTATCTGACTGTCTGGTTGGTGGCAGAACTGCAGGAATGGCGTGTACTGGTGCTGATTTACAATGATTAAGAATACTTCTGGGAGCTGGAGAGATGCTCAGTGGTTAAGGGCACTGGCTGCTCTTCCCGAGGACCCAGGTTCAATTCCCAGCACCCACAGGGCAGCTCACAACTGCCTGAAACTCCAGTTTCAAGGGATCTGACACCTTCACACCAATGCACATAAAACAAACTCAAAAAAAGAGAGAATTCTTCTGTTCCAGTGAGTAACTATAGAAGACTCCCCAAGTAATGCGCTTCTGGTACCCTGTTCCTCCCTAGAGACCCCAGATCCAATGAACAATCAGGCACTAATCCAGGACTCTGATTCAACCTCCTCTCCACACCGTCTATTATGACTGGTCAGAGCCATGCAGTATGGTGGTAGCATGACTCCAGCCTTGGCGGGTAGTAGGTTTATGGCACTGGGGTCTGTGAGCCACAGTGACACTGAACGAAAGGTCTCGTCTGAGGATTTTCCTCTCCCTCCTCCTCCTTGGTACAGAGGGGTGCGTAGGGAAGAAGATGGGAGGCCATCTGCTCCTTCATCTCAGTTAGCAGGCAACTTGAGGACAAGCCATGGCCTCCTGATCTCTCAGGTTGCCAGCGTTGGGGCAGCCAGGAGGGTGCTGGAATCTGCAGGGCGTGCGCCCCTGAAGCATCCTAAAGACAATGCAGACCTGGACAAAGGGCGCACAAAGGGAAAATGTTGACTCTCTGTGACCCATCAAGGCTCAGACCAACAGACAGCCAGCAGGCCAAACCTGGCAGCCATTGTCAGCGTGTTTTAGAGATCATGGCCTGTCCATTCCTGCCCTCTTCAGCCCTGTGCCCTTGATGCCTGTGCAGGGGTGAGGCACGTAGTTGGGGCTCAACAATTACCACTGAGTGCTTGCTTCCTGCCACTTACTCCCCAGATGTGCCCAGTGCCGCGCTCTGCGTTCTGCAGGCTCAGCAAACTGATGCTGTAGAGTTTTGGGCTCTGGAGAGGCTCCTGGGAATGCTCAGAGACAGAGAGTGTACGTCCAGCTCACAGGGTGCGGTAGAGTTTCCATTTGTGCAGGCCTGGGTAGATGGGTGACATTTGCGCAGACTGAGAGGGAGAAGGGCTGTTTAGGTAGGAGCGTGCCTGGAGCCTTGGAGCACAGGGGCCATCACAGCAAGAAGGCATGAAAGCAGTTATATGAGCAGGAGAGACTTTGAACACCAAGCTGGGATGAGTCCGGGGACAATGAGGAGCCACTGACATCCTGGAACGGAACGATCGGTACTGCAGTGCATGGAAGGAGAGAAAGCAGAGTCTTGAGGACAGAGGGAGAAAAGAAGCGATCCCACAGTTTGTGTAGAGGCAGGGCTGTGGGCTGGGTGAGAGGAGCCGTGGATGAGGGACTTCTCAGACACACGGTGACTAGAGAGGACCACGGAGAGAGGACCCAAGATGGCCTTCTGGTTGAGACAGAGTGAATCGGGTGGCTTCAGAGGACAAGTTGTCAGGGACTCTGGGATAAGGAGGTCAGGATGCTGAGACTGGACCACAGGAACATCACCTTTATCAGTGGCTGATCAGCAGTTGATAATGCCACAGTTAACTAGCCACTCTGCCACCGTGGTGGAAGAAGGAATTTGGGGGGACATCTGCAGGCCACACCTTGCAGCACAACTCTTGACCCTTAAATCTGGGTAAAGGCTCTGTGCCTATTTCAGAAAGAAGCCATAAGTACTCTGGCTTCACAAGCAGTTCTAGAGGGTGGTACCTGACCCTTTTCCCCAATGCCTAAGTACACCCTGCCTCCAGACAGTGTATGTAGTCTATTTTGACTCGTGTCCTGGTCAAACAAGGTATACGCACCCCCACTCTTAGATCCAGGAGCACACAAAACTCCGGGAAGAGAGCAACTTGTGGAACTTTGAACTTATGACCCTCTGCCTAGCAAGCTGACCCTGAGCTCCCAGGAACTAAACTCCTTCCCTAGGCCCTCCATGGCCGTTGGCATTGTCTGTACATTTGCCCGGCCCTCGAGTGTCCTGGCCCCTCTTTGTGCCCTGTGTCCTCCAAGTGGCCCTGCTCTGCCTCCAGACTCACAGGGATACTAGGGATGTTCCCTCCGTGTGACGGAAAGAGGAAGAATAGATGGCTCAGCGATTAAGAACACATACTGCTCTTTCAGAGGACCCGAGTTCAAGTCCCAGCACCCCCATCAGGTGACTCACAACCACCTGCAACTCCAGCTCATGGGGTCCCAATACCTCTGGCTTCTTCAGGCACCTGCACTCATGTGCACAGATACAGAGACACACTCTGCACAAGTGCAAAGTAATTTTTACAACATTTAAAGAAAAGATGTGCAAAGACTAAAGAGCCAACCGCTTTGGTGAGGAGGCAGAGCCTAGGTCTCCTCTTTGCGCCCCCACCCTGCCGTGACCCTGCTGTGCGGAGCGGGAGGTGCCCGGAAACAGCTCCTTCCTCCCACCCTCCACGCTCTCGGGGTTGTACACAGCGCCGGCCCAGCTACTCCACTCACTCCTCAAACATTCACTGATGCTGACTCTGTGCCAGGCTCGATGCCAAGAACCAGAAAAGCAAAGATGAATGAGACCTCAGGGAGCTCACGGGGAAAGGAGACAAATTGCAGACGGCTGTGATTCAGCAGTAGGAGCAGGCGGATGGGAGGACAAGGCGCTACGGGAGCCTGGAGGACATTGCAGCACCCCCTCAAACGTGGGCGGGCTGGAAGGCTTCCCAGAGGAGGCAACGTGTAGATCGGGCGGGATGCATAGGAGCACACCAGGCAGGCGCGGGACGTAGGATGGGAATGGAGGATGGGCGCGCCGAGACAGGGAGGCTCCTGTGGTCCTGGGTTGAAAGAGATGGGTTGTGGGGTGTGTGCGTCAGCCACAGTTAGGGATCCTGTCCTTGGGCCACGCTCCCCCGAGAACCCTGCCTCATCTCAGCTCATGGTGTCCCTTTGGGTGAGGAAGGTGCCAACTGATGTCTGAATGGCCTCTATACTAGAACCTATTTCTGAGGGAATCTGTCCAAGGCTGCTGATGAGTTTGGCTGCGAACATAAATAATCTCTTGGCTCCCTGTGCCAAGAGAGGGGCTCCCGGGAGCTTCTCCCCACCCCTGCCTTCCTGAATAGCCTCAGCAAACAGGGCGGAAGGAAGCCTTCCCACCACAATGACTTCTGGGAAGACTAGGCCCCTGACTGGAGGGGCTGGTCTTCTTTGTATCATCACCTTATCCTGCCTGGCGAGGCATCGCTTGTGACTTTCTGTGCCCAACGGCCTGGTGGCCCCTCACAGTTCCTCCTTTAGTCCAACCATCTTTGTCCTGCATATCTCCCAGCCTGTCTGCATCTCACTCCTCTAGAGGGCTTCGCCTCACCTGAACCAAACTAGTCTGGCACCATCTGCCTTCTCTGTTGCTGTGATTGCCTCCTCCTGTGCGTTTGTCTCCTGCCTACACTACACACCCTCAGAGTCAGGGAAGGAGAGGGTGGGGTCCTTTGCCCCAACCCCATGCTGATATATTTTAATAGGATTAATAATGACAGCATTGGCTGGGCATCCCCCATCTGCCTGGCCCTTGTTATTCATATACTTACCTTTGTTAACACATTTATTCCCCCAGAGCAACCTTGCGAAGAGTCAACTCTGTTGTAACCCTATTTTCCAAGTTTTTTTTAAGGGGCGGGCTCAGAGAGGTTACTAGTTTGCCCAAAGCCTCACAGCTAGTAGGTGGCGGAGCCTAGCTTCACAGCCATGGAGCCTGCTCCAGTGTCTAGCCTTTCTCTCCAAGCAGCAGCCTCTGCATTGTGAATTATTGTAAACATTCCACAAATTCCTTGCTGAAAGGAACAAGGAGTCAAACTTTCCCTTGATAATTCTTGGGTTCATTCCTTCATTGTATGCACCGAACAGCCAGAATGTAACAGGAATTAGCAGTGCAGAAGAGCTAGGCTCAGACTCTGCCTGGAAGGGATGCTCATGATGTCTGGTGACAGCTGGTGTGCGAGCCTTCCCAGCTCCTCGGGCCCTAGGATGACACTTCTCTAGGGAAAGGTCTGAGCTGCACCCCTCCAGAGATCAACGCGGTCAAAGGGCCCTCATAATCCCAACTTCTGGAGATTCAGGTAGAGGAAGTATGGGTACAGGAAGCTGGGTAGACGTGGGGGTCAGACCTCTCTACACAAGCTCATCTAGGATGTTGGGAAAGAGACCTCCCGCGGAACCTTAACTGGCTGCTGGCATGGCTAAGTCCTCCAGGCTGAGGTCATCGAAGGTGCGAAGCTCTGGAGGACAGGGTCCCGCATCACCCCAAACCGGAACCCCAGCGAGGCAGGGAGAAGCTGGGCTCAGCTCAGGACAAAAGGCAGTCCCACCTGCTAGTCTTACGGCCCTCCTGTCTCTGAATGGCCCCCTCTCGAGACCGCTTGTGACATTTTACTCTTCACCATTAGTGTCTCCCGACAAAATATTTTCAAATTCCAGGTGGCATTTGCCTCTAAACCTATTGAAACGAGATGCCTCTTTAGGTAGAGCCAGCAGAGGCTTGGGCGGGCAGAGGAGGGTGGAATCCCAGGGGTGCACGGGGAGGGAGGCCCTCTCAGCAGGAGCCGTGGGAGGGGCGCTGCCTGAGGACAGGACATCTCCGGGATCTGCCGCGGGAAGGGTCACAAGACAGCTAGCTGGGCAGGGAGCAATGGCAGAATTAAGCAATGGCCTCACAGCAGCGGTCCTCAACCAATGAGTCCACCCCCACCCTCACCCCCAAAAGATCACCACATCCAGCACCTGGTGACTCTGAATCACTGGGATGAACCCCAAAGAGGCAAACATAGTGCGCTTTGCCACAGACTGCTGCCCGCACCCCTGCCTGTTTGGTCCCGAGAGATCTGTGTGGGTTTATAACCCCCAAAGGCCAAGCGCTGGGAAAGCTGAGTTTTAATCCTATCCGT